CATAACACCAGCATCATCTTTTATATCCTGAAACTCATGTGTTGTCCGATGCTTATAACATATTCTACCCCAGTTTTCATATCCCAGCTTCTTTATTTGATCTTCGATGTTAAAATAACCTAGCCTATCTGCATCCAACCCAGTAACCGTGGCAACAAAATCACCATAATAATACTCATGCCCTTCGAGAGTGACAAATCTACCCTTGTGATTGATGAATAACATAAAGAAATCACTGCAAATTCGAAAAATCAAAAATTTTTACCAATTCGAACCCTAAAAAAACTAAAATCAATTGAACATTTCAACTCTGAAAAGGCATTTACCTTGCGACCATGATGTTAACAAGTTCTTGTGTATGTTCACGATAATCGTCACGAACATATGGAAGACACACCCTTGTAATTTTGGAGGAAATAAAAAACCTAGGGTTTGGAAATGAAAAATCGGGAAGGGAATTTGGGGAAAAATGAACGATTGCGGTGAATTGGGGGAAGAAGCGTCTTTTATACTAGGGTTATTGCCACCTGGAAGCTGACTCGGACGCCCGTTTGGTGTTTCCGTCAACTTAAATTGCCACATCACACTTCCGTTGACGGCAGTTAGAAGTATGTATCGGGTTGCCAAAATTGTAAAGGTCATGTATTTTTCTGACAAGGTTTGAAGGTCGTGATTAAATTTCCAAACGCGTAAAGGTCGTATTAATTCCCGCCATTTTGCCTTTAAAGGCAAATTAGCTTATGGCTTATGGCTTTAATTCCCGCCATTTTGCCTTTATGGCTTATTTCGTTTGCTTATAAGTTCTCTGTATTTAAATAAGATTCGTTTGATAGTTTATCTCATAAGCTTCTTTGGCTAGCTTATCAAATAAGCAAATTAATTTTTTTTTTCAGCTAGCTTATCATCAGCTAATTTTACCGAACACTTTTATCATGTAAGTTAGCTTTTATGCTATAAGTCATAAGCTATAAGCTCGAAAATTACTGATAAGCTATAAGCTAGCTTATCAGGGATCATCTATATTATCAGCTAGTTTTATATAACAAATCATACGATATAATTGTTATTAATTTACAAATATATTTCTTTATTACAGTTTTCCACTACTTATTTGTGATTTTTGTAATTGTATGCCTAGTATGTTGAACCCGGTTGAACACATAGTCTCGACGTACTCCTACCAGCTCGGAGTTTCGGTGACCTGCAAAGCGTCCCTGCGTAAGTACTCTTACGCACAAGTTAGAACGTACTTGAGGGAGTATATCGGTTATAAGTCTGAATGACGCATATATGTAATGTGTAAGATTAAAGAACCCGTTTATCCTTAAAAAGTTAGAGTAGCTTAGTCTCCAATAGAGTCCTAGTTGCTCAAGAGATCATTGTGTATCTACTTTCTTAACTCACCACGTCCCTAAGATCAACAGACTCCTTAGAAAGATGCATTTTGCATCCATGAAGGATTTTCTCCCCTCATGACACATAGCTCTTTCGTTCCCAGGGCGTAACCATGACCTATGTACCTTCTTACAGTTGGTGGTACCTAAGTCGCAACCACAACCTCCACCTCACGGTCTACGGGTCATGAGGTTTCATCGAATATCTGAGCTCCATAGGTTTTCTGACCTCCAAGCTGCCTAAACTAGACTTGCTTGTTCCCTGAGCTATCTAAGTGAACTCCCTTACAAGAATATACCTTGGAAACAGTCTAAGCTCTCTTGAACCGACCACGACCGAGCTAATCACTCTTACCGGTTCACCAGGCTATTTAGGATCCTATATCATCTAGCCTTCCGTCTTTGGACGGGCTGCAGAGACTTGTGCAAGAATGTCTTATTGCGCTTAGTTGGCGTACCAGGTTGTAGCGTCGTAATTCATACTACCCCGATAATTGTGCCTGTCACGAAACGTCTCTTCAAAAACCTTAAAGCGCTCTGTTCGATCTTCACTGTAGATCTCTTTTCAAAATTAACGTCCACGATACGCCTTTTGGCATTCAGCAAATCCATCTTCCCTGGGCAATCCAAACCTCACAGATGGCTTTTGATCCAACGACTCACCTTCGAACTCAACTTTTGGGCTTTCTCTTTCCACTGTAAAAGCTGCGCAGATCTGATCTTTCCACCTTTACCTTTTGATCAATTCTAGAAATCTCTTCTGCAATAAAAAACCATCGATAAAAAACTATGGGTGAGCATGGGGCGGTACGATTCGGAGATTGAGAAATCTCCAGAACCGAACCAAAATTTGGAGATCAATAAATTTGATCTCCGGAACCATACCAAAAATTCGAGACGATTCGGTTCGAAGATTTTTATTTTTTTGATTTAGTTTGGTTCGGTATTCCAGACTAGCGGGACGGTTTGGTTCAGATCATCGGAGAGTTCTTATTTTTTAAATTATTTTGAATGACTATCCAATTATATTTTAATGTTTATATGCTTGAAGAGACAACATTCATCAATACTTTAGCATATTGAATATTTTATTTTGAAATCAACTTTAGAAGTAACTCCAAATTTTAGTTATTTATTTTGTATATGCTTTAAAAAAACCAACATTCACCAATAATTCCTCATATTAATTATTCAATTCTAAAATAAACTTTAGAAATAGCTCTAAATTTTATTTAAGACTAAATTTGTGCAACTAAAATTGAAAATTTAAAATTCAAACAAAATATACTATAATTTTTTTATGAAAAAAATTAATATGAAAAATTAAATTGTAGATCAAGTATTGTTAAGCATGAAATTTAAGTGAAGCTTAGTTGTTATTACTATATTTAATTTGCATTTTATAAATCCTCAAGTTATATGGGATCAAAGTTGACACAACACATATTAATAATACGCATCTAATGTTATAATTCGGTTTTTAATTTTGATTATTCGGTTTGGTACAGTATGAGACAGTTAGGTTTGGGTATGTTCTCGGTACGAATATTTGTGAGATTTCCAAAACAATACATGTTAGTGAAATGGATTTCACTCGGGCTCCTTCAACTCAGACGACCTCCATACCTGCAGGAACCCAACGCCGGAAGGGGTCCTGGGGTCAGGCCTCCGATGCCTAAGTCAAATTCACTCCAAATTACATTCTCAAGAGTATAATAATCAATATGAAGAGAGTGAGGCTTTGGGATATCTTAGCCCCATTTTATAGAGGGAGTATAACTTAGTGCCCAAGTTGGGCTTGGCGCATATCAATATGCCATGTGTCCTAGCACATATGTAGACTTATTCTCTAATATAATCCTTCTTATCTATTAAAGTTGGTCTAGTAAAATATCCCATATTATCTAGTCCCCCCCTCCCCCACCAAATCTGGTCGAGTAAGCATGACTCGATCCAAGAGTAAAATGCCTCTTCAGGTTGTTTCCGTCAACCTGCCACTAGGTTATAATTTGAATAATTTCTCGACCGCTAAATAGTTACCAATCCTCCATATGAGCACCGGGACCCTAATGAACACCGAATGACCACTGAGGTCAAAAATTGTAAGACCTGCCTCTAAGGTCGAACAGCGAATGACCTACCACTGAGGTAAAAAACAGAATGACCTACCATTGAGGTAGAGAATCGAATGGCCTACCTCTGAGTCAAACACCGAATGACCTACCACTTAAGTCGAAAATGGAATGACTTGCCACTAAGGTCGAGAAATAAATGTCAAATGACCACTAAGGTCGAAATCGAGTGACCCGCCCCTGGAGTAAAAAACTGAAATATGAATGACCACTGAGTTCGAAATCGTGTGATCCACCACTGGATTGGAACACCAAAAGCCGAATGACCACTAAGGTCGAAAATCAAGTGACCTGCCACAGGGGTTGAACACCGAAAGCCAAAATGACCACTAAGGTCAAAAATCCAGCGACCCGCCACTAAAGGCAAACATCAAAAGCCGAATGACCACTGAGGTCGAATATCCAGTGACCCGCCACTGAGGTCGAACACCGAAATCCGAATGATTCCTAGCGTAGATTCTTTTACTCTTTGTTTTGCAATGTTGACCTTTCTTCGATATCTCTCGACCTAATTACTCGGACTTCCATGATATTTTGAAGTTTTTCTCGATCTCTTACTGAAGTCTTGTTTGAAAATTTGAACTCACAATTTGTTGTTTTTCAAACACCATGTTCGAGCTTTCTTCTCTCAAATATAAATATTTTCGACCACCTCATCCTTTCGCCCCTCAATTCAAAATTTGAAATTCAACACTGTTGTATATCCTCTCGAAAACCGAATGTCCTGACGCCACCTTCATGTCGAAAAATAGAATTCGACAAAATCAAACCATATAAAACCATTGACCTGAATAACCTGACTCCGTGAACTGTTCCAAGTGAACTCCCTCGACCTACCACTGGGTCAAAAAATAGACTCAACAAAACTGAATCAAATAAGAAACCATCGACCATCCACCGAGGTCTACAAATAAACTCCATCAACTGCACCAAGTGAACTCCATCGACCTACCATTGGGTCAAAAAATAAACTCATCAAGGTTGAATCAAATAATAAACCATCGACCTGCCACCGAGGTCCTCCGAATGAACTCCATCGACTTGCCACTGAGGTCAAAAAATAAATTTGACAAAACCAAAATCAATAAAAACCATCGACCTGCCTCTGAAGTCTCCAATAAGTTCCATGAATTGCTCCAAACGAACTCCATCGATCTGTCATTGAGGTCAAAAAATGAATTCAAATAAATCAAAATCAAGTAAAAATCATCGACCTGCCTCCGAGGTCTCTAATAAGCTCCGTATATTGCTCCTACTTAACTTCATCGACCTGCCAAAAAAAATAAATCCATACATCAAATCATGCAAAACCAATCAACCTGCTCGGGATGTCCATCCTCCATGTCTTCAATGACCCAACACTAGGATCGACCACCCAGCCCGAAGGCTTTAGTCGTGATGAATTTTGTTGTCAACACATGCCCACCCTCGATGGAGTGGTCGATACATGCGACCACCCAGCCTCACGACCTTAGTCATGGTAGATTTTTGTCGTCGAACACATGCCCACCCTCGAAGGAGTGGTCGATACATGCGACCACCCAGCCTCACGACCTTAGTCATGGTGGATTTTTTTCATCAAACACATGCCCACCCTCGAAGGAATGGTCGATACATGCGACCACCCAGCCCCACGACCTTAATCATGTTGGATTTTTTCCTTCGAGCAGCTCGAACACTTTGACTTGCCACTGAGGTTGAAAAGAAACACATCGAATGAGATAGGATAGTAATCGATAAACTCCATCAGTTTCATCAAATGGATAATTACATCGAACGAGATAATAAAAAACATAATTTTTTTTCAACCTCACTTTCCTGTTTGTACATTACGGTATGTGTTGTTGGTTACTCCTTGTTGTCCACTCCCCACTACAACCAAGCAGTGTATGTAGATATCCAATCCACCTGCCCGTGTATTTTCCTCAACAAGAATTCAACAAATTCCATCAGTCGTATTTTATCTACATCATCCAATTTGCAATCCCAATAGCAATAATAACAAGAGATGAATAAATCAAAGCAATCAAATTGGTGCACATGCTTTTATACCACACCCTAATCTACAGGCAAGCCTCTTTACCACATTATGAGATCACATAACACCCATTCAAATGTACAGTCGACCAAAATTTCACAAAACCACGAATTCAACAAGCAATTACAAGAAACCATACTTCGCAGATACAAACAACAATTAAACGAATGCACCAAACAAAAATCAAATATGTTACTCTGAATACCAAGCTCCTTGGTCATGGCGACTCGAGACTGGCCAGCCCAAAGGCCTTAGTCATGCCAGATTTTGTTGGGATTTATGAGGATCTCGTTATGTACAAATCACGAATTTAATAGTAAATGTAACCTATGCGCAAAGGTTTGATGTAGAAAACTTATGGCTAAAAAATTTTGGCGATCTAGCTGATCTTCTGGATGGCCGTACACAGCACACGAACAGTTAGATTACTCGAATGGAACTTCTCGGGCTCACGTGCAATCAGGTCGGGTGCGGTGATCGGG